TATATAGGGTTATTTCAAATACTGAGTCACTTTAATGGAGCAAGAGAACAAGCAAAGAGTTTCATGAATCTATAAAACAATTATTCAATAAGGGGGCAGAATGGTGGCAATGAAAATGAACACTGACTCGGCAGCTCTGGTAAAGAACTTGTGGCAAAAGTGTGCCACTGAAAATGTTTATCTTGCTATTTTTCCTAACAACAAAATCAAGATATTCTAGATAAAATTATACCCAGGGATATAAAATTATACCAAGGGACCCATACATTTATGTTTCCCATGATTTTTACTCTATTACTTCAACCAATACTTTATTAATAGTCAAAAATGTGCAAATATTTGCTGATTTGTGTGACAAAAAAGTAAGTAAAATATTTTATTTGATACAACTAAAGAAAGTACATTTCAATCATGTAATGAAACTTTGCTTTTATTTCTGAAGAGCAATGGGTTTGAGCAATAAATATTTACAGAGAACATATACATTAAGGTATTAGATGAGGTATTCTTGGGAAAATAAAGTATGGTTCCTGGTTTTGAACAATGTACAAGCATACTCCCAGTACAGGAAAACATTTCCAGATAAGCTAAATGTTGCCCCTTCAAGTCCTCAAATGGGAAAAAATGTAGATAAAGTGCACTGCAGATAAACTGTCATCATTTATTATCTCTCATTTATTTGTTAAAGATGCAATTTTAGAATGTATTCATTTCAAAGCACCAACAGAATATGTACAAGGTCATATGCATAAAACCCAAGAGCAAAGAGTTAGTGTATATAACATTGTAGGTATAGAGAGAAACACATGATCAGAACCAATCCACGGGACTGCAGTTAACAAGAGCAGCTCTAATGTGACAGCTAAGATGTTATATTTCGAACATCTTTTTTTTTTTAATTTACCTTGGTATTTATCTCTAGTTGCTACAAAAATTGCAGAGAATCCTTGATTGATAGTGTTTAGTTCTTAGGTGAACAACATTTGAATTTAAATAGCATATTAATTTGGTAAATGTTTTGGTTTTATACTTATGCATATAGGTCTTAAATATGTATGTGCTATACTCTCTCTGAGTGCGTATATACATACATATGTATGCTCTAGATCTGTTCTTAGGCTTTGTGTGAATGTTCTATTTGACACTGTACAATAACCTATGTCATTATCTCTACTGTTAACTTGAGGAAACCAAAGCACAGAGAGATTGCATTCACTTGTCCAAAGTCCTACAACTTTTTTACAAAAGGGACAGGATTTTAATACAGACTGTTGGAATTAAGACATCCAATCTGCTGGTACTACCTTACAGCACAGAAAGAAAAGCAGAGCTAACAAGATGAACTCTTAGATTCCTGGCTTGTGCAACTAGGGAAATAATGGTGGCATTATTTGTTATTGAATGAATGAATAGCTGGGCCTAGGCTTGAAGGTAAAAAGACATAAGGTAAGTTTAGGTTGGCTCAAAAGTGTTGTCAAATTTCTGATCAACACATATATAACACATGGAGTGTTTCAATATACCTAGAAGAGATGTGGATGAAGACACAGCTACATGGATCATTTTCAAGAAGCATAATATGGTGTGTGTGTACATGTGTATATATGTGTGCCTGTCTCTAGCTACTCATTTAGTCTTATTTGACTTCCACAGCCCCTGAATGTGATTTTGCTCTGTGAATGGTGACCTAGAGCTATGCTAGGTCTTATTAAATCAAGCAAGTTGCTTCCCTGGTTTACTTATGCAGCGGAATCTTGCCTTCTCTCTAAGGCACAATTCATAGCAACTAGACCAGTTCCAGCTTTATTTGGTCATATCAGAGAACAGGTACCATGCCCAGCTCCTCCACGAAGTCTTTCCTGAACTATCAAGAGCACATAAAATGGAAATTTGTGACACTTTGTCATACTACTCTCCTTCATCTAAGAAGATGTTGAGAGGAAGGCTCAGTCCTACCTATCAAATTATCCTTTGTATCTAGCATAGCTCTTGCATAAAGTACACACTCAATGAATATTTTTGCCAATATTTCTGCTATGCTCTTTTTTTTTGCTCCCAATTCTCCCTGTAAATTCAACTAAAATAGGCCAGTACTACACATCCCCCTGTCTGCTTACTATACTGCCTTGAAATTTCCCCTGCAACATAAACTAGAGCATCATCTTTAAGCTCAGCTTCACATAATCTTAAGGCATGGGCAAAACACATCTAAATTTTTTTTGCCACAGTGTAACAAAAGTGACTTCTAGTCTAGTTTCCAGTAGAATTCTCATTTCCATCAGAAACCTCTTCAGCATCACCTTGACTGCCTATCAGCATTCCTATCACATTCGGGTCTTCTGGCCCTTACAAGGAATCCCTTGTTAAGTTTAGAGAATTCTAGTCCTTTTTCAGCTTGCATCTCCAAACTTTTCCAAACTCCTCTTGAACACCAATTCTAAAGGCACCAGTTCCAAAGACTTTTCCACATTATGAAGTATAGTCACAGCAATGATCCCACTATGAGGTATAGTCACAGCAACGATCCCACTATGAGGTACCCATCTGGGGGATTATGCAGCATTCTGTCACTGTGACAACATGTGAAATAATCAAGTTATAAGGTGAAAAGATTAATTTGGGCTTACAATTTTGGATGTTTCAGTCCTTGATTGGTTGACCCTATAGCTCTGGGTTAGCAGCAGGCAACACAGCATGGCAGAAGTGCACACCCACTCACCTTACAGTCAGAAAGAGAGAAAGTGGAAGAGGCTGGGGTCCCACAATCCCCTTCAAAGGTGGTCCCTCAGTGACTGGAAGAACTCCCACTAGGGTACCTCTTAAAGTGTCCATGTGCTTCCAATAGTACCACACTGGGAAGCAATCCTTTAATACATGAACCTTTGGGAGACACTTAAGATCTAAACTATAAGAACATTTCTTATTTGCTTGCAAGAAGAGAAAAAGAATGAATAATTTAAAAGAAACACATAAAATGACAATTCATTACGGCAGGAGTTTGACAATAGGTTTATTCAAACCTGTGATTTTATATTGCATATGTACATTACAGCAAAATATTCCTAGTTCTGAAAAAGAAACCAAGACTACTAAGACTTCATATTTTCAGATGATGATTCACTTGAATTGGAATCAACACTAAACTTCCCGCAATTGTCTTGACAGGAAAAGATGTCCCCCAGAAAACCACTGATGTGTCTTCATACTCTCA